TGATGAGAGGGATAGAGCAGTAAGAGTCTCTGTCACTGTTCATTCCTTTTGCAGACACCCTTTTGATTAGAGCAATAGGAGAGAATAGTCAGCCCTTGAAGTCAGGAGCCCTCCCGTGTTGTCTCACTAGCTGATGGATACAGGAAAGATGACATTATTGGACAAACATGGTCTGCTAATGCCTTTCTCAATTTACACCCAGGAAGCAACTGCCTTCATAGTGAAATATCAGAGGAAGTCTAAATGCTCCCGGGAAAACAGATGATCTGAAGTACTTTACAAAAGCCAACAAACACTCCAGAATCTCCACAAAGAGAAGTGAAATAATTCCTGGATGTGGAACTGGCTCTGTGCCTGGTGAACTATGGAGCTGCCATCAACTGCTCATTGTCCAGTGTATTGGGGCTCTGTCATCCTATGCTGACAAATCAGTCTGGTCACAAAAGGACTCATCACTTTTATCCCAGGCTGTCTGCAGGCACCTGCCAGGGCCATCATCAGGGTCACTGACTATGCAGCACGAACTGCAGTTACTTTGATAAGGCTCCCATCAATCCTGATGACTAGCTTTATTTCCCCAAGATTAAAGGTGAAACAGCACTACAGTAGACAGTACATCTTCTGTTGGAATGCTTCAGAGAAAGCTCATGACATCATCATAGCACAGCCTGCAGACATAAGAATATAATACTTGGCTCATTCCTTCTCCTGTCAAAGACACAAGAACTCTCTTCATTGCAGTGCAACAGCATGTCCTGCATTTTACACAGGAATTGTATAAAAAGTCTTAAAATCAGGTGAGGTTGTTGCAATAGCAATTTCCCTGCAATTCGATTAAAAATGTCAAACCAAATTTTCTGCAGATGGTTTCTTCCACGGATATACGTTTTCTTCTATGGATGTGTACAGTCTTATTAAATGTCAATGGGTTAGAAAAGCACCACTAAAAAATTCCACCTTAGTATAACAATGTTTTTTATCGTAACAGGTATAGTGACTGTGAAATAGGCTGTTGTAACCAAAAAAAAAAGTTTACCTGCAGCTGCTGATCTAGTTCTGGAAATGCCAAAGACAAGTTTTCAGGGGCAGCATCATCTAAAAGGTAAACATGATGTTAAAATTCAATGTCTACCAAAAAGGCCATTTCAAATAATCTGTCTGATGAAGTTCTATATTGCATATATTGACAATAATATTGGATCCTGAAAAAAACTCCATATCTTATCTTTTACAGTTGAGATTTCTTAACAGACTTCTTGAAAATACTAGTAGGTTGTTAATAAGAAAACATTTAGTTGCTGGAAAGACAGAAAATCTATTTTGTATTGCAGTGATTAAGAAACAAAACAAAGCCAGTTAGTCCAGTGGAACATGTAATAATTTAATAAAACCAATAAACCCAAACTGTCTTTCTTCCTGGGCTCTCTCCATTACACTGCAAAGCAAAGAACCTTCTGAGGACAGCATCGCTACTACCAAAGGGTTCATCAACTGAATGAAGGCAAAAACAATCACAAGAACACACAAACTGGCCTGGCAACCCTGAAACACGAAGTGAAGGCTTTGGGGTGACCTAATTGTGGCCTTACAGTGTTTGAAGGGAGCCTACAGGAAAGATGGAGAGAAACTATTTACAATTTACATGCAGTGTAAGGGACAAGGGGGAATGGCTTCAAATGGAAAGAGAGTAGGTTTAATTAGGTATTAGGAAGAAAGTTTTCCCTGTGAGGGTGGTCAGGCACTGGGATAGGTTGCCAGAGAAGCTATGGAAGTGTTTAGGGCCAGTTTGTGTTTAGGGCCAGGTTGGAGCTGGGGAGGTTGGAATTAGATGACCTTTAAGGTTGCTTCCAATCCAAACCATTCTATGGTTCTGGGATTCTATGATTCTATGAAGACTGTTACCTGCACAGACATGATTAGAATGGGAAAGGCACCACAAATTTCTCCATACTACAGAGACATGATTTTAACCTGTCCATTACAATCCTTATGGGTTAGAGTTAGAGCAATCTTGACAACAAGCCAAACCATGTTTTTATTTGTTTGTTTGTTTGTTCGTTATTCATTTATAGTTCAGGCTTCCAGCAAAGGTGGGACAGACTCTGCCAGTTACGTCAGGCTTGTGATGTGGACACCCACCCAGTAGTAGCTGGACTGAGGTGGGACACATACTTGGAATCACACTTGGTAGCATCACAGCTAGCCATCCCAGCATTTCCTTCTCAGTGACTTCCACACTATCAGTTTTGCACTGGATTGTGATGGCTGCTTATGCATCTTACTACACGTTATGGGAGGTGAGGAGAACGCTACTATTAGCTTAGAGTCAATTATTTGTAATGTATCAAAATCAAGTAAGGATGGTTATCAAAAGAGAAAATTGCTAACATGGTTCAGATCCTGAAACAAGCTGTATGCTGGCAGACTTGTACACAGCAACAAAACCCCAACAAGATTAGGAGGACCACATATCAAAGCAGGATTCTGGATATTCTGAAAGAGTACAGGCTAGGATCTAAATTATTTGTCAAATATTTGATATCTTTTTATCCTGCTCTCTGTGGTCACATAGCAAAGGAAATTAGGGGGGGAAAAGTAAAAAAAGTCACCTTATCCTATGAAAAATAAGCATACAGACTAACACATGGTCAGAGCCTAGGAAGGGATGCCCAGAGAAGAAAAAAATGAAGTAATATTTCCATGCTGTAGGAGTCTTGCTAGCATTACCAAGTCATACCCGTGTCATGTGTGCGCTCCCCTTCATTTTTTCACACCATGTCCCAGACGTGTCCATTCTGGAATATACTTAAATTGCTTTAATAGTAGAGGATTGTATCATGAGGATATGCAAGTGTTTACCTTTAATTTGCTCTTGCTTTCTTGTACAATATTTATAAATAGACTAATTTTCTAAAAGAAGAAAGATGAATCATATGGCAAGGCTAAAAGGAAGGACAGAATAAAACTCAGTCCGACTAGGGCTACAGCTGCTCTACAAGTATTTGGCTGAATAGCTGTTAAATATTCTGACAGAGATATTGGACCAGAGTCATGGATGGCAGTTAAGCTGCTATTTGTTTTGACAATTCCAGCAGTACAATCTCTGGTACAGTAGCTTTAAGGAGGGAATCCTGAACATTTTTAAAATTAAGAAAAACATAGCAAAAGCAACCCTTCAAAGTACTAAAAAAAAAAAAAAAAAAAAAAAAAATTGAAGCAACATCAGCCAGTAATTACTTTTTGACTGTGTCAGCTATTAATAAGAAAATAAAACTAATGTAGTGTCAGAATATTAGAAAATAAATTGGAATATCCTCTTAAAAGAACCAATTAAAAAAGTTTGGAAGCACTTCATAAAGGATGGAATAGAGAGAGAAATTAATATAGAGGAAATCCTTTCAATAAACAGATGTTCCCTGTTTATTTTTTGAACTCAAGTGACTGAGTCAATGGTACCATAAATAGAACGTACTGGTATCCTAACCATTACGGCATACCATAGTACATTTTATAATGGGCCTGCCCTAGCATCTATTGAACAGCTGCTAGGGGTTTTTTTTAGTGATACTAGTTTAAGACTTGTTTAAATCATCATCCAATGTGCAGAACATCATCTAGAAATGTTGGGGAGGACTTTAGTGGCTTGAAATTTTCCTGAGCTCCTGATTCTCTTAGGCTCTTTTGAGATTTTTTGCTCAGTTTAACAGAAAATTAACAGAAATCCTCACAGCTAACTGCAATCTTGTTTTCCACAAAAAGAACAAGAAAAGACTTTCCCCACAGCTTTCAGTGAAATAAATTACTGCCTCAGGTCAGTTTGTATTCCACTGTTGTCAAAGTAACAACCAAAACAATAACAACAAAAATCACTCGGTAAAAACTAAACACGATTAAATTTCACACAAGGGGAAAGCAAATGAAAGCAGTCATTCAGCTCCTAAAACTTCTTTGAGGATGTTTTCAGAAAGTCAAGAGCAAGGATATAAACTCTTACATTTTTTTTCTGAAAGAATCACTATTGCCCCTACAAGCTGAAATACTGGGCATTATGCAAAAGACCAGCCAAAATTACATTGATTTCTGCCTTCAGAATCTATTGACTCTGAAAATCAGAAACAAGAAATGTCTGAAAAATTAATGTAAGTATTCTGAAGAACAAAACACTCTCAGAACTATCTCCTTATCTATCTGTATTTGTTATTGTCTACTCTACATCTCCTTAACTAGACAATAAATTTCAGAAATATCTCTTTTTCTCCTTTTCTCAATTCACTATCAATTTTTAATGAGTGCTTAGATTAGGAATCACTGATCAGTGCCCCCCCTCACAATAAAGTTAGTGGATTTTCTACACCAAAAACCCCTGAAAATATCTAGGTTGATTCTTCGACAGCTACAAAGAGAATCTCACCTCTGTGGCCACTGTAAGAAAACTCACAAAGAAAAAGGATTTATAATTCAAGTTGGATGTTGAAAACCTATTTTCTTAAAAAAAAAAATTTAAAAAAATCAAAGACAGGAACTTGCTACACCTGAAAATGAGTTAAGATACTGGTCAAAAGGAAATGAGGAAGTTAGAATAACATACATATGGATGCCATGGCCATCCCAGCAAACTCAACAGCACTGACTGGTGATGTAAAAGGATCATATCAGGGACCTCATTACAGCCACCTAAGTTAATGCATCTATAACGTGATTTCTAAATGAGGAGCACTTCCTGATTTCCCGTAGATCCCAAATCTAATTTTGAAGTTCTATATTTGAAAGTGCCCTAAAGACCTGTAACCTGATTACACGATGAACACTCGATGGTTTTTTGACCCAAAGACTTGGTTCATGTGCACAAAAGGGTTTGATTTTCCTGTTTGTTTCATGGTTCACGTGCTTGCTTTGCTTGTTGCTGAAAGCCGTCATTATAACAGAGGGCATCTGAACTCTGTTAGGATGGATTGTCTTTATATAAAAGGCTTACTACTTATGTTCTTATGTCCTGAGGCATTCCTCTGATATATGCTAATGTTGCACTTTAGAGAATGAATCTTGCTTTCTGGAAAGCTCCACTGATTTAATGATGTTCTGGCCTCCTGGAGATTCCAACATCCCAGATCTCCATCACGTTGACAAAGATGAGAAATCCTTCACATGTCACTGTCTAACTGACACAATGTCTGGTACAATGAAGTGTAATATCCAAGTCTCTTCCTATATGGCTGCTCCCTTTAGCTAAAATCGTGGGCTACAGGCAATAAATCCTTTAAGAACAACATCTGATTTGCTCGCAGTATAAAGCTACAAATTAGTTTCTCTATAATCTTCATAAAGATAGACAGAAATAGAATAGAAAAATTTAAATGCTCTGAAAGCACATTAAGGCTGCTAAATCAAGCACTCGAAACATAGGAAATGCCAGTCACAGCTCTGTTTCCTTGAGTAACTGAGTTATGATCCAGTATTTAATTATACAATCAGGTACTATTTTTTTTCCTCCTCCATGTATTCAGATTTCTTGCTCCTAAATTAAAGAATTAAATTGGTAACATAAGTAGGCTGTTATCCTGTAAGTGGATCAGCCCTAACACAGGAAAAGTACTCAAACTCAACTGCAATCACCACAACTTGCAGTGGGGCAACACCAGCAAACTGTGTGTCAGGGTCCATTCTTGACCCTGGGAGAACAGTGAGATCCAGCAGCTCTGGCCCTGTACACTGACAGACAACTCATCAAATTCATCCTGGAAGGCTGTGTGGCTAAGTGACTGCAACTTGGCACTGCTGTGTGAAGCTCCAGGGCTTATATTCACAGCCCTGCCTGCCACGACCTTATAAAACCTCGCAGTTACCTCACTCATAAAATAGTGGGGAATGGTCACTGCCTCACCCAGGAATAGGATGTGAAGTCTTGCTCAATAATAAGAGTTATGGACCTCCCAAAAATAGAAGCAGTCCATAACAGAAAAGATGACAGCAAAATCCTCCTACTCCGTATACCTTCACTAAAGCATAAGCATCCTCAGATGAATATCCTTTTGAAGGTATCTCACATGAGTTCCTGTCTAATTCCCCAAAGACCAAGCCACTTCCTTGTAGGTTGGGTGTAGTTTTAGGAAACTAGTTTTGTAAATTTTAGCCATATATTTTTAGCAACCCTTCCTGGAAAGCTGGGAAGCCTCTGTTGCCATTACATGCAAAATAAGGATGGAGAAGGGATTTGAAGGTTGCTTTTGAAGAAGCAACCACTGCAAAGCAGTCTTGCATGATCAGCTAGAAAGGCAAAAAGTTCTTTGTGGTCACTGGGATGGTGAGCATAAAGAGGAGTAAAATAAGTAATTTTGCTATGCTTGCAAAAATATTACTCTGTTTCACTGTCTGTGGGGTTCTTTAGAAAATTTATGTTTTGCCTTCTTTGTCACTGATTTTTCAGGAATATTCTATCAGAGGTAGACTAATTTCAAATAAAAGAATTCACTAATAGTTTCAAAACCAGTCATATATCACCACATGTCACAAGCAGAACTTTTCATCCAGACTCAAGCTTTTATTCTAGGAGGCAAGGTGAAGAAATGTTTACCTATAAACCTTCCCTTTGAAGTCATGCACAAAAAAAATCCACTTCATGAAGTTCCTCTTATAATCATTGCATCTTAATATATCCGTAAATAAGAGTGATAAAGATTAGGACATATTGAATTTCACTGGTTAAATGAAGTTGATATTGATAAACCACAATGAATTATCAACTTTGAAACACTTATTTAAATCTTGGAACACCATATTTAGTTCAAACTGCTTTAGTTTCCAAGTGATGTAAGATGGGCTGGAATAATATGTTTCCAATTCATTAATTTAAAATGGTACCTGAAGTCAAAACTGGTGCAATATGGTGGGAAACCTGTGTTAGTGAACTTGAGTGAAAGAGCCAAACATAGAGATCTATACATACAGGAATAAGACATACACAATAAAACTGTCTTATATAGCACCCACTAATGGGCTGCTCCTGAGACTTTTAAGTAACTGGTTACCCTACTTTCAAATTAAAAATATGGCACAAAACTGGCCAGGATTTGCCATCAGGTGTTGACTGACAAATAATATAGCGCAATTAATTTATTTCTTGTACACTCGGGATAAGCCAGCCCCAGTCTTGTAGGGCAGTTAACACAAAGTAATTTCTTCTCGTGAAGTTGAGAGCAGTTTCTCCTTTCACTGCTTCTCACACCCAGTACTTGGTTACAATCCTAGCCAGTGAGATAATTGCCACCCAGAAGAAACATTCCACTTCCCCTTTTTATATCCAGTTATGCTGCCAGTTCCTCCTAGTAAGCAATTGTACAGCCCCGGAAGGAGAATGCAGCCTTTTTTGGTCAACTGTGTCATTGTGCCTTTCAAGTGAGGTAGAATTTAAGGAAAAGCTTAAGTCAGACCAATTTCCTGACCACTTAGCCCTGGTGAAGAACTTACTGTTCATGCCTAGCAGTGCATGAGCCTCAGCTGATGCTTTACTACCACACTTACAGCAGGTAACTCCTGTTTAAACTGAAAAAAAAATATATCCTTGTCAAGGAAAGAAAATAAATAAAGAAATATAAAAAAGAAAAAATCTCTGCCTGGAAAACCATGGAATACCTAAAGGTCTACCTGTTGAATGCTTTTCCAGCTCATCTTGAAAAAAAAAGTTTTAAGTACTTGTTTTTAATTTCTTGATTCAACTAGAGTCTGCTAGAAATTTTCATACCTGTTATAAGCTTATTTCCTTTGTCTTCTTTAAATGTATTAAACATAATAACTCTTGAAACTTGTGACATGGTAAAACAATATGTTGATTTAGGCCTCCTGGTAGCCCTCACAGGCATGTGATGCAGAGGAGTACACGGCATTCACTCTATGGGTTGCTATTTTCTTTTATCAGCACTCATGAAGATTCTGGATTGCATACTGCAGGAACACTTGCATATATACCATAAAGGATTCAAAATTATGGAACAGCTTAACAATATGTGGCAGGAAAAAACTACCTTTCTCTAACTGGGTTCATTTTCCTAAACATTACGAGAGAGGCTGGAGTTATTAGCAGGATAAAAAAGTAAAAAAAACCAAAACATGAAGCAATGTTAAGGAAGTTAGGCTTCCTGCCTTTCATATCCCCTTCTTCCAAGCTAGTCACAACCTTGCAATTTCCTATTGTCATCTCTTGTCACAAACCAGTCTGCTGTCTTTGATTTTCCCATGGTTTCAGCCTTCCCTGACTTGTTTGCAGTGTCTCACATAAGCATCCTTTTTCCATAAGTGACATCTCTCTTCAAGACCTATCTTTGCCATAATTCCTGTATGAGATTTACCACATGACTGTATCTTGAGAATGAGAATGATTCTTTACTGCTTTCTGTAATAAAAATGTAATTACTAGATTATGTTAATTTAAAAAAAGGGTACATATATGATCACAGTTATTTCTTTATATTCCTTGTCCTAATCTTTCTCTGTCACTCATCTTTATGAACTGAAAGTTAGGTTCAATAACATATGAAGGTTTGTTTTTTAATTCCCTTGCTTAGGGAGTGAGATTGTATTTGAGTATTGTAGCTGAAAATTAGTATTACAGAAAAATTAACTAGGAAAGATGATGCATATTCTAAAATATTTTTTGCATGAGAAAAGTCTATTCAAGCTGAGATTCTGTTCACACAAAGCTCAGGAAGCAGCCTCACACGTTATCCCACAGTGCAGAGTCCCATAAGACATGCAACAGTAGAGGGTTTTAGTTATCAGAGATCCATAAACACATCTTAGCCCTGACTCCAGGCACTTTTAACAAAAGCAATAGCCAATTTTTTGGGGATGCTTTTCAGCTTCCTTTCTGCTTTATTTTATTCTGGCTTTCATTGTTTGGCAACAGCTCTCTGGCACTTCATAATACTGAAGGTGCAAACTAATAATATTCATCTGTTCCAAAGGCCAAAGGGTCCGTGTGTATGTACAGTGTGTGTTTGGGCACTGGCCAACAGTATAAACATCAGTGAAAGTTCTGCTGCTTTCTCAGAGATGTCATGTGGGATATGCATTTCCTGAAACCTTTCACCAAGCTGGGCACATGTGGCACTTTTCAACCTTCCTGCTAAAAAAAGTCCCTTCCTGCTCTAGGCTCATTCAAACTTGTCCTTTTACTTTTCTTGTTTTACAATTCCATAACATCAGATATACTGCACGTGCAGGTAGATTTGATAGTTAATCACAGTCCTCAGTATAGCCCACAAACCACTGAAAGAAAGCTAAGTTCTAAACTGTCAGTCTAGTGGATTTACTCTAATGAAATTGTTAATGGAAACATTAAAAGTTATCAGACAGGAAAAATGATCACAGCTGCCACTCAGGAAAAAAGTCCACCCATTATCCTGGACTACATTTGATATTGTAAACACTGGTAAGTACATGTAAAATTCAAAACCAACTATTTCATTGTGGTTTACTCCGTAAATTAAACTGTACCTGGGGAGTCATTCAGGCTGAAGGCAATTCGTACTTGCTTATCAGCAGGTACCCTGGCGGTAGTGATCATGTGGGCACTTGAGTCAATGCTTTTACTTGTTTGTTCCAGCTGCAATAATACAAACAATATATTTATTACAGAGCATGTGACATCATTCAATAAATGAGTTTTAATGCTGTTCATGCACTCACAGCTACCTTTCCCATTCTAGCTAAGCAACGTTTAGAATCAAAGTCAAGGGAGCACCATTTCACTTTTCCCTTTAAAAAAGGAATTAAATGAAATTCAGCGCAGAGACTGCCTTTATTTTTGATATTTATAGATTAGAAAGAATGATGGCAAAGGAAGCTACCCCTCTCCTCACCTGCTTCCTCCCCGCCATTGCCCCTTCAGCAAGCCTTGACTTGTGGCAATGTTGCCTGGTTCTGAAGGTGAAGAAGGAAGAAGGGGTGGGGAGTTGAGAGTAACATGACCCCAAGCCTGCCCTGTGATTGGAAATGTGCACACCACTCCACATGGTGTCAATGAGGAGGCACCCATCCTCCTACCTTCCACCCATGACTCCCCCAGTCCAGCTGTGCCTGAGAGTTGCACATTTAATGGTCAGAAAGTTACGGGGTCTCCAAACCTTGGTGGTGATTTTTCAGTGGAAGTCTGTGCAGGTGTAGGGGTCTGTCTGCATGGGTTTGGCTCCCGGATCGGGACCTTATTCCGTCCTCCGTCTTTCTTCTGAGACCATCAATTACAAAAGGTGGTTTTACTGAGATGAAACCCTGTCCATTAAGAAAACAGCTAGTTCATTTTAAACCTGGCACTAAAGAATTGGTGGGCAACAAAATCTAGCTGCTATTGATCTCTAATGGTGTAATTAAAACATATCTGTACACTAAAGAGTTGTACTCAGAGCTCTACTATGTATATTTAACCTTTTGGATGAACAGTTTTGGTTAAACTGTTGAATAGCTGAGCACAAGCAATCTCCTTGATTATCTAGCACACAGCTTCTAAAATTCAAAGATATTAAACTTCTGATGTGTAAGCTCCATGTGTGGATAACATGAAGTCACTGGGACTTCATGCATGCAAAAGATCTGCCCATAAGGAAATTATTTTAGGACTGTGGACTGCTATCCAGCACACATTGTATTCATACCAACTATGTGGAAAATTAAGAGAGTAGCTTCTAAATTACCATAAAAACTTCTTAGTCAATTAGAAACCAAATTCATCAGAAAAATACAATGAATTTACTAATTCATTATCAACAGAAAACTAAGTATTTAGCAAGTGAAAACAAAAGCCAGTTTCCAAAGCCAATAGTCTTGCAGTTTTTCAGTAAAGTGGCTATTATATTGCAGGGAAATCCTATAAACTCATTCTAATTTACACTGAATTATTTGGCAGTCTCAAAAGGTCAAGAGAACAGTATTTCAGTCTTCCTTGGTGGTGCACAAATGAATCAAACACTTCCCTGGCATCACTGCCATGCAGTCAGTGGAATAGGATCAAATTTGAGTTGTGTCCATTAATTTCAGCATTTCTTGTTTATTTGCTTTGTCTGTTTTGATATTTACTTAGCAGACTGATATGGTTACTTGTTATTTGAAGTGCATAATCTTTTCTTAAAATAACAACAAGTAATCTACAATCCTTACTTCAAATGAATCTTATTGAAGCTGAGAGTGTCTCTTTCTGCTAATACACAAAGGATACCAGGAACTGTTCTTAATTCTCCCTTACTAATGTTCAAGATATAAAAAACCTGAACTGGTATCTGTGGAGCAGAGACACAGAAAAGTCAAATAATTGTAGCCATGTATGTTTTTGGACTCAGCAAAAGACCCTTGGAGTCAACTGAAATACTTTATTTTGAAGTGTGTTGCATCAAACTGAATAACTTTTACCTTCTGAGCATTAATGATCTCTTCCCCACCTCCCCACCCTCACTTCATAGGAAATATCTGATACAACTCATTGTTTTAAAAAAAACAACAGAATTATTAAGGCAAAATTCTTTGTCATATTTCCCTTCCATACTTTCCAATACAAGGTAAAGAAAAAAACCCACAAAATGAGATTTTAAGTAATAAGTGCATCTTTAAAACAAGGTTGTTTATCCTTCTGTGTTGTTGGTACTGATTATCTCAAGTGGTCTTCCACATAAGAATAAACATTTCCCATCACGACCTAAGAAATTAAAATGATGCATTCTGCTAGGGGTTTTGAAGTTGCCAAAACAATATTGCTATAAGTCTGTTGTTTTATCCCAGTCCCATACTCTGTGGTGTGCAATGCTTTTAAATTCTCTCTTTTAATCATTCTCTTAATGTGAGAGCAAAAATCAATACCCTTTCAGTAAGAAATGGTGAATTCTATCAAAACACAAAAAAGTGTTTTCATTTTATTCCAATCCTGAAAAAGAAATCTCATCTTTATACGCTACAATTACCCTGTTAGCCTTTTTTTTTTTTTTGATAATATTGAATTTATCTCTTTACTCCTTTTTGTGCCAAATCCTCAAGCTCTTCATCACAAAAAGCAGCCACAGAGAGGGATAGAAGAAGCCTGTGTGCAAACAAGGTGATACCAGGAAACATTCAGATCGGCTGCCCCCAGTTCCCCACCTGCTTCCTCCATGCGTGACGAGCAATATCGCTGTAGACAGAGATGAGGGTCAGTGGGCAACCTGGAATTTAATGAGATTTAACGAGCAGCTCTTTTCTTCCCAACAATTGCCTGGAGAGCTGGCTGCTGTTCCTCTGTAAAAAAAAAATCTGCAGCAGAACTCAGATTAAACGCTGTAACAGCTCTACCGAATTTTTTCACACCTGTTGCCTTACCTCACTTAGCGGAGTGTCTGCACTTGTATAATCCAGGGCCAGCCACTGCCTTGGCTTGTCGTTGCCTTTATGGAGTAAAGCTTCAATAAAAGAAAAGGCTGCACCTGCTGCATAGCAACGAACTGACAAGGTCTGAGAAGCTGAGACAGCTGTCAGGGCAACATGCTGCTACCTGCACTTCCCATAGGCTTTGCTGTCCCAAAAGATCACCCTTTTCCGCTTTTCTCCACAATTCTGCTTTTCCTTCCTCTCCTTGCAAGTGACAAAGGATTATGATGCTGTCACGCTTCAGGGAGGAAAAAATCCTTCTGTCACAGGCATTATTAAGCAGCAAACTGTGGTGAGCCCAAGATTTTTAATTCATTAGTCCTGGCAAACCTGAAATACAAACAGACTTGCTTCATAGGACAGGAATGTTTTCAGCATGACCCAATCAGTGTCTGTGTCTATTCCAGCAAACTGGCAAAGATAGCATGACTCCAGTCAGCAAAAATGTCTGCAGCTCCAATCAGCTTGGGCTGACACTACCAACTTGGACTGGCTGCAAGTGCATTTTCAAATGATAGCAGCGACTATCAAAGCTGACAACAACGGATGGGCTTGGCCTCTCGGGCTAGGTTCTTGTTGGCTTTTGCCAAGCCAGGCTTGTTTAACAGCAGGCTCTAGCCCCGCTCTTCTGAGGAGGCAATGGGCAAATCCCAGAATGCGTGGGCTGTAAAAGCAGATGTATTTATAGATTAACTGGTGATGGCAGTGATAACTGAAGCTGACTCAATCAGAGATTTGACTGAACTCAGAGGATTTCCTAGCGTGATTTTGGATAGCTTGTTTTCAGTTTTGAAACCACTGGCAAGCCATTAGCAGATAAACCTTGAAATATCACAATAGATTAATTTCTTCAGCCTAAACTTTTACTTCCTATTGCCAGAAAATTAAGGTTTAATCCCTGCCTTGCACAAGTACTCTGTCACACACTTGTACTGCCTACATGTCTTTGATTGATTGTTACCACTGTCATTAGAAAAAATGGAGAAAAATGGAGAACGATTATAGAATGATTATACAGAATGTCTTTATTGTTCCGTGCTTGAAAAGGGGGTTCTCCTTCTTTTGTAGTTCAAAATGTATGTCATATCTTGAAATTCCAAATGGAAAGAGTTTATCTAATCCAGATCTGTGTAGACACATTCCTAGATTCTCTTGGCTCAGCAGAGATATAGAGGGGTTGCAGGACAAATAAAGACAGTCTGAAGTCCTTCCTCACCCTCTCACCTTCTGGCCCTAGCCCAGGATTGATCTCATCAGGGCAAAAGTCTGGAAGCCAGCAGTTGCCTTTGTGGCCTCAAAAGACCTTTTTTATACTTCAAAATTACTAAACTGCAAAAATATCCTACCCACATTGCCTCTCCCCCAGCAATGACCTGGGAGGGTATCAGATAGCTACACCATTAGTTAGGTATCTCCTGAGGCTCCAGACCCCTCATCATCTTTGTGATCTCTGCTGGACCATCTCCAGTCGCTCCTTGTCTTTCTTGTACTGAAGAGCCCAGAGTGTAGCCACAGCTACACTCTTCTATGGAGTTTGCTGCTTCTGAAAACTGTGACTCATGGGCTAAGATCCAAAACTACACCAAAAAAAAGGCCCCTAATTTGCATTTAAATATCAGTTCCATGGTTTATGCAATGATTAGTCACCTGAAACTACTACTTTATGGGAGGTGGCATACTTTTAAAATGTGAGAATATTATAGCATTCTGCATACAGAACATCAAATTTGAAGCATCAGGATGAATGATTTGACTGTAATTGTTCTAGCATCTATTTATTATTGGGGTGATTGTGCTAAAACTCCCAACAACATGAATTTAAACAGCACATTTTAAAAGGTTGTTTAAATTACTAAGAATACATTAGGGGAGACCTCAGTTTTAAACTATGGGGAAATTAAAGTCCGGGATGTTTCGCTTCCTTGACTTGCTCAAATAATAGTCAAAGCCATTATCAATTTTGGGTCGAGATAAATCCTGCTTCTCTTACTTACTAAATAGGTGATTAAAATATGTACACCAAATCACTCTCCCATTTCTTGCAGCGCAAAAAATGCTTCTTTCTGACAGGCTTCACATACACCTTATAGTCATCTCTGTGAAAATTACAGAATTCTGGTATCTCCAGGGTGTTGTTTTTTTTTTTTTTTCTTTTGCAGGAGCACAGCCTGCCCTGTTTCCTTTTCAGTATACACTTAGTCATCAGATGCCTGGTCTCCAAGCAAAATTCTTCTAATCCTGCATCACATTATGAAACTGGTGATGTGCTAGAAGAGGATATCATGTTTTATTAGCCAAAAACACCTTAAGGGAACATATCCTAAATTAAGAATACTGGGAGTTAATGATAATCAGTAGTGGAAACATACAAATTTGCAGCAAGTTTTAGGATGAAGTATCAGTTATTCTACAGATGTTAAAAAAAGCCAATACCTGCAATCTAATAAAACACCTGTTGCTTTCACTTTTTTAGCTGTGCTACTTTCAATTCATCTCCGTTTCCTAGCATAAGTAGTATTTTGGTAGCACATGACCTCATTCACGCTAAAATGGTATTTTGCAGATTGCCAGCCACTATTTTAAAACACACTTTAAATATTCTAGCATATGGAAGATGTTCCAAGAAGAAATAAAAAAAAAAAATGTATTGCCTGAAATTGCACATAGAGCAATATCACTCACAATCCAAAATCCCAAGTCCTGACAACTGGAGCAACGAACAGAACATTTAATTAGTGTTCTGTGGTATTACCTCCAGTCTCTATTACCTACCTGCCTAGGTAGCATTTTACACAGGCAAAATAATGTACTTTCCCCCAAGCTCTACTGTCATAAATGGCTGAACTCTATCAGATTAAACTAAATCATTAACACCAACACTAAACACACATTGAGCACTGACTTACAAAATAGCACATAAGTAACTTTATAAATGATGGCAAATTGATATTCAATAGCTGAATCACTTATATAGGATCATATAGGCCTAATGAAGGAGACTGTTGCAGAGAAATTAAAGAATTGGCTCAGTCAAAGTAATGTGTATTTACAGGAGCTGAACCAACAATTTTTACACCTGCCTTAAGATCATCTGGAAATAACTACATCTTGAATTGTAGTTGTAAACATGACTGGTGCAAAACTCCATCACTTCCACAGCAAACTCCAGACAGAAATTGTAAAATGCTAATTCTGGTGAGAGAAAGAAAGCTGAAGCCTTTGAAATGTTATTCTGCTGAAGATCCCTGTGTAACTCTGCGTGGAAAACAAGATGAAAGCTGAAGCTGGAAATATTACTGGAAAAGCTGGGTGGGGCTTTAATATTGCCAGAAATCAACATGTGCAAACTTACACATTTCATTCACATCAGCGTAAAGATGGAAATAACCTTTGTAAACTAATTATGGGAAGAAGATGGTGGGTCATCTCAACGGTGAATGGTGAAGGACGACACGGATAGTGTGCAACAATTCTCTGGGATGTCAACAGCTAAATGTTCAAAGCCAGCACTGGCTAGCACTGGCCAACTAGAAACACTATCACTTAATAAAAAATTCATCAGTTTTGCTTACCAATTGTGCCACTAAACCACCATCCTAGAAGAGAAGGGTAGTTCCGTCATATCCATGTAAAAGTGTATTAATCACTCTGCTTCAACTGGACTTGCCATTCCTTAAGCTTTCCTTACTTAAGAACTTACCTGAAGAGGATATTACAAGACATTCCCCCTTAATGATGGTTGAGTCATCATGCTTTCATGGACACATGTGTAAGACTTTCAAATCAACACAGTCTTTCATGAAGCTTTGCTGCTCTAAGGAAGAAATCAGCACGCAGAAGATGTGGCAAAATCCCAGGCAGCAGCTGGTATTCTGGCAAAACTGGAAACCTCACTACCGATTCAGCACTGAAACTGCCTTAGGTAACACTGCCAGCTACAAACATAGAGGAGAAGTTTAGAAACAATAAATGCTAGAATATTTATCAGCAGAAAAAATGCATTAGTAAATTCATCTCATAATAGTCCAGTCCTCATGCATCCTCTAGATATATATCTGCATTTGGAGCCCAGAGAGCCAACCATATCTTGGGCTACATCAAAAGGGTTGTGACCAGCAGGTTGAGGGAGGTGAGTCTCCCCACCTGCTCTGCTCTCTAGAAATCCCACCTGTGGGATCCCAGCTCTGGGAACCCCAACAGTAGAAGCACATGGACCTGCTGGAGTGAGTCCAGGGGAGGCCATGGAAATGCTCCAAGGGCTGGAGCACCACTGCTATGAAGACAGGCTGAGAGAGCTTGGGTTGTTCAGCCTGGACAAGAGAAGGTTCCACAGAGAGCTTAGAGCCCCTTCTAGTGCCTCAAGAGGCTCCAAGAGAGATGGAGAGGGATTTTGGACAACGGCATGGAATGACTGGACAAGAGGGAATGGCTTCATACTGAGAAAAAGTATGTTTAGATTGGCTATTAGGAAGAAATTCTTCCCTGTGAGGGTGGGAAGGCCCTGGCACAGGTTGCCCAGGAAGCTGTGGCTGCCCCATCCCTGGAAGTGTCCAAGTCCAGGCTGGACAGGGCTTGGAGCAGCCTGGTCTAGTGGAAGGTGTCACTGTCCATGGGAGGGGGGTTGGAATTAGATTATCTTAAAGGTCCCTTCCAACCCCAACCATTCTATGCCTTTATGATCTTCCCTCCCTCTCTGAAGAGAAAACTTATGATATTACAGTTATTGTAGCAAGAGTGGTGTGCTAGATGTATCAGGCATGTGACTATCATACAATGACAGGATGTGTGTATGTGAATTTATCTTGGTCTGTAGAATAAACTGCATTAAACATGAAATCATATGGTTAAAAGTCAAAAATTATCAGTCTTATGACCTGTCTCCTCATTAATAGTCAATTCGGAACCCTTGTGCTTCTCTGATGTGGCCTATAATGATGGATGCTTTCACTAGTTTCCCCCATGAACCCAAATTCAGCCAAAATTGCTTATTCCAGTGAAAGGTATTATATTTTTATAAACCTAAAGATATTATATTTAAAAAAAAAGCGGCAAATACTTTGCTCTGGCAGATAAATTAGACAAGACAGTTTCAAAGATTTTCTTACCCAGAGACAACTCCTGCCCAGAAAAAAAATACTCTGCCAATTTTCTACTGGGACACTCACAAGACATAGTAGGGTAAGGGCAGTAAAGTGCTGCTTTTTCAGAGGGGAGGAAAAGAGCCCTTGAACTTTGTTCTCCCTAAATGATCACCCATGTCCGTGCAGCAGACTGCAACTGAAAGACTAAGCACTATCTGTCTTTATTAGTGCCACACTCTTCCTCTTGTGATCTAATGTACAGGACTAAGCCAGCGATATCAATACTCTAGAATATTCCCACATTATAAT